TTTATTTTGTCATTCTGATCGGATTTTCTCTACTGTTCCGTTTTAATTTTATATATATATATATATATATATATATATATATGTATATGTATGTATATGTATATATATGTATATTGAAATTATGTTAGCATGTTTAGTCAATAAAATACAGTGTTTTTATTCAAAATTGTATGTCAACAGAATAATAAAATAACAACAACAACAGTAACATTAACAGTGATAATAATTTATTTTACAAGCAACGAAATTGAATCAATATTATACAATTTTATATATTTATACAAATTTATGTATTGATTCAATTTCGTCGTTGCCTGTAAAATAAATGTCAACGTCAAAGTACTGTAAGAAACTTTAGACATTGAAATTTAGGGTAAAAACATAAAGGCCTATATTTACCAGAATTGCTATTATCCATTGAGTGGTCTTCACTATGCAACTCGTTAAGAGGAACAGTCTCTAGATGTTTCTAACAATTAATAATGCCCATATATAAAGATATGTTTATATAAGTATTCAGATATTTTAATGCATGATGACGATGATGATGATAATAATAATAATAATAATAATAATAATAATAATAATAATATAATTATTGTTATTATAACAACAACATATACAAATAGTAGTAGTAGTAGTAGTACCGTAGTAATAATAATAATAATAATAATAATAATAATAATAATGACGATAATGAAGATGATAATGATCATACAGTAATAATAGCGATTAAAGATGAAGATGAGAATGAGAATGATAATAATATTGATGATGATGTTGATGATAAAAATGATGATGATATGATAATAATAATGACGATCATAGCAAATATGATGATTTTGATGATTATGATAATGGTTAATTAATTATGATGATGATGATGGTGGTGGCGGTGGTGATGTGACAGACGATAATTAATATGATAATTACATTTTGGATCTCTTTTTTCCTTAATAATTTGACCTTGTTTCTTTAAACAATTAAATTTTGCATCCCCTTTGTTATGTAGTCCATCACCTCGACTGGCTTTAAGCCTTGTTTTGGCGAATTATAAAATGAACTAGAGATACTATGTTCAATAGAACATGAACCCAGTCATTTTTCAGGATTTGACCATAAGGTGACCACCATAGGCTTAGCCAGCGAGCCGTCCGGCCGTCTTTTGGACGGCCTACAATTATTTAGGACGGCCACTTTTACCGAGACGGCTAGGACGGCTTGGCCTAATCAGCTTGGCCTAGCCTAATTGGGCCTGGTCTACCTTTAGCAAATTCTTTATATTCTTCAAATCTATCGAATGTTCATTAAAACTAAAGCTAAATCATATTTACGTTTGATAAAAGCAACATTTATTGATTGAATGTACGTTGTTTTCGTACCAATATTCGGTGGGGATTCCCAAAGATGGGCGTGGCCAGCCCATCGGCTCAGTGCCACGCCCACTGGCTTCCATTTTGGACGGCCTATTTCGTTTTTCTGGCTAAACCATTGGTGACCACTGTGACATTTGACCTCAAGCTGTGAACACCCCATGTTTGGTCGGAGTCTGTCTAATGCAATTGGTTCAATCGTCTATAGTCACTAGCAATATTTGATAATTTTCACCAAAATGACCCTTTGTAACTTTTGACCTATAGGCGAAGAGTATTTTTTTCATGTTTAAAAGGACCTAAGGATCATTCCTTAATGACAACACAAATAAAAATTTTGTGTTGTTAATTCTAATTTAGTCGCAATTGATCAAAACTCCCTAAATGTGGAATTTTTAGAGGAAATTGGCCTACCTCAACAAGGAATGCTCTTATGTTATATATGGCCACACTCGTTCTTTTAAACTGTATATTAGCATTTTCCTTATGGCTTTATTTATTACAAACATATTTTGTCAACAGCATTACACATTGAGGCCCTTCTTTTAGGTAAAACAATCTATCTTAATTTTTCTTTCTTTGAGTTTGGGACTATGTGTTATAACTTAGAAGGCAAAGGAGAGCAAGCACAAGCTTTAACACTAAAAAAATGCGCGCGAAGCGCGCGAAAAATTTTTGTTTTTTTAATTCTAATTTCGTCGGAATTGATCAAAACTCCCTAAAATGTGCAATTTTTAGAGGAAATTGGCCTACCTCAACAAGTAATGCTCTTTGTTATATATGGCCACACTCGTTTTTTTGAACTGAATATAAGCATTTTCCTTATGGATTTATTTATTACAAACATGTTCTTTCAACATCATTACACATTGAGGCCCTTCTTTTATAAACGATCTATCCTTAAATTTTCTTTCTTGAGTTTGGGACTATGTGTTATAATTTATAAGGCAAAGGAGAGCAAGCACAAGCTTTAACATTAAAAAATGCGCGCGTAGTGCGCGAAAAATGTTGTTTTCTAATTTCGTCGGAATTGATCAAAACTCCCTAAAAATGTGCAATTGTTAGAGGAAATTGGCCTACCTCAACAAAATATTGGATTTAAAATTTGAGATTTTCAGGCACTTTCCCGGGTGAAAAGGGCATTCAATGGGGAAAGATTTTCCACAGATGGATATTTTCCCCTTGTTCCCCGGTGGTTACACCACTGCGGAGAATATCTGGCGGCTTAGATCAAATTTGATATGGACACTTTTGTGGAGAAGGGGTTGCAGGCCGGGGTATTGTGATATCTGTTCATTATATCTTCCTTTTTATTCTTGTCTTTATTTTTCTCTTCTCTTTTTCTTTTCCTTTTTCCTTTCTTTTTCTTTCCCCTTCTTTCTCTTTCCCTCCCTCTCCCCTCTTTCTTTTCTCTTCTTACCCAGCCAGCCAGGTACGACGGCTTGGTCAGCCCGGTAAAAACCGTCAG